TTTTGTTCCTTATTAAATTCTTTGGAGCTTCTCGCACTTTCAGCCAAAAATATTAACATTTAACATTGTTTGAAGCACCTTAAAGCTGCAAAAAAGCGGGCTAAAAATCGCCTGTTTTTTCATATGGCCGCCATTTTGTTAATTTGCAAGATTTTTTGCTGCCAACGGGAGAAGCTCCAGAGAATCTTATGCAGATTATAATTTCATCACGAAATCTGTTTCAGATGAAGCCGTTCCAGAGAAAAGTCTTCGCCCGTCCAGGCGTTTGCGGCGAACAGGGGTCTGTTTGCCGCCATTTTGTGACGTCAATAATGTCTTTTTTTATGTCGAAAAAAATTTATTTGTAAACTTTAATGTTCAATAAACAAGAATCCCAAAGAGTTAGGCGCATTACTATTCATTTTCCTTGAAAAAAAATTAATTGAAAAACAGGCCGAAAAAAGGCAAAAGATTGGGAATACCCCCTTAAGAGCTATTTTTACAATTTGGACTTTGTTTATATTTTTTTATAATATGTCTTGAGAACAAGTTAAAACATTACTTCTAGCTGACGTTATGTGAGGAATTAAAATATTGCTTTAATTTGGTTTTTGTCATTGTAAAGTCAATGTTATCGCAGTGCTTATTATATGTATCCATCATTTGGTTCATGGGTCCAAATTTGGCATAATTCGTAGGATGACGATTTGTAGCAAATATATTTCTATTTCGTAAATGCCTAGATGGTGTATATAAATTTAAGGATGACAATAGTTCTATTGAATCAATTCGATGCGATACGATATCGTTTACGAAAGAAATCATAGCAAATTCACGACGTTCTTTTAATGTTTGGATATTTATGAGCATACACCGAGCTGTGTAAGATGGCAGAGGAAATACAGTCCAACCTAACTTGCGGAGTGCATACAATAGAAACTGCTTTTGAACGGACTCTATTCTTTCTTCGTGTGTGATTGAAAAAGGAGACCAAACTGTGCTGCAATATTCTAATATCGAGCTTACATAAGCAATGTACAATATTTTTATCGTATACGGATCGTGAAAGTTATAGCAGAAACGTTTTATGAAACCAAGCATGTTGTTAGCTCTGTTAATAATTGTGTTAAAATGATCGGTGAAAGTAAGTTTTGAGTCCAAAATAACACCTAGATCCCTGACTCTATCACACTTTTCTACGATATGGTTTCCTAAAGTGATTGTTATGTCGGGTAGGATTCATTTTCTACTGATGGTAATTGAGTTACATTTTTTTATATTTTATTGTAGCAGGCTTTTTTGGCACCAAGTATGGAATATCTGTATTTCCTCTTTGAATGTGATGATGTCTTTGGCATCTTTTATTTCCAAAAAAAAAGTTTAATGTCGTCAGCATAGATTAAAACTTTAAATTTCTTAATAATGAAAGATATGTCATTGACGAAGAGAATAAATAATAGTGGTCCTAAATGGGAGCCTTGAGGAACTCCTGAAGTGACATCAACGGGATTTGATGTCTTTCCTGTGTGCTAAGTGGGCTAAGTTTCAGATGGGCTCCCAAGCCAAACGTCACTTCTAACAGTGCTGATTCCTTTTCGAAATTTCGACCAGCTTCATGCAAAAACCGGCAAACGAGCGATTACAGATTATTTCAATACGATACAACGAGTTGCTTCCTTGATGGTTGTATAACTTCTTCTTCTTGTTCGCATTTCAAGCTTATTGCTCAGCGCATATTAGCTTATTGCGTGCTCTCAACTTAGTGTTCTAAATGCAATTCCACAGTTATTAATTGAGACTTTCGATGCCAATACCAATGCATGAATTTGTATATTGAGTGGCAAGCACAATGATACTCTATGCCCAGGGAAGTCGAGAAAATTTCCAACCCGAAAGATTCCCTCGACCGGACTGGGAATGGAACCCGCCGCATCCGGCTTGGTTATACCGTGCCTTTACTGACTAGGCTATGAGGCCCCTATGAGGTCAACGATATGAGGGGTGAAGCTAATGTCTGACTTATCAAGAAATCCACACGAGACCTAATTCAACAGCAATATTTGCGTCAAGGGATAGAACAGCATCTAAAAGAGTACCCTAATATATTAAAATGAAATCCATATAAGCATTACAATCAAATGACATTTGTGTGAATATATCTGACATTGTATATTGCACCAAAAGAGTAGGGAAGAGAATGGGAGTACTCGCTTTACAACTGCTCTTATGAGATTGAGCAAATGTTTTTGAATAACCCATCCCAACAACAGTGAGCCCCTCCATATCTAACTACGCCTATTAAATGGAGCACATGTTTTTGAATACATCTGAAAATACCAACTTGACAAGATCAGAAACACCGAAGTTTTTGCAATTTGAAGATTTAGTTCCATTTATATGAGTTAGGGGGCGGGGTATAGTAAGCCCCCCCCCCCTCATCTCTTAATATGCCTATGAGATTGAAAACTGTTTTTGAATAATTCATCCGAACATACCAAATCAATAAGATAAGAAACTCCGACGTTATTTCAGTTTGAAACTTTACTTCTATTGATAGGAGTTACCTCAAGATCGCCCAATGCTTTTTTTTTCCTTTATTTAACGTCGGTCTCTGTTTCGCAATCTAGTGCCAATCACCGACGGACATCGATTGCCATCCATTGACGGCAATCAAATGTTCAGGAAGGCAGCTTCCACACCTGCGTAGGATATCGCACCCATTCAACACACTTGGGCCGGGACCAACGGCTTTACTTCCCTTCCGAAGGAAGACGTGACCAGAAAAATCCCACCGACCTCGACTGGGATTGAACCCAGACCCATTGGGGTGGGAAAGCAGCCGCACCGGCTATCGCCCAATGCTAGTTGGAATACTGTCATGAGGCAGTACTTTTGGTATGCCTGGTCTAGGGATTGTTTCGTTTTTGAGTTATTATAAATTTCCAGCTAGATTGCATTCCTGGTCCATTATTGAACTGTAGTATGAGAAAAAAGGTCAGAACATAATAATCAGTATAGCTTAGATGGTTCATGTTAGTTTTCTTGATACTCATTAGATTGCAATCGAATCGATCATGAGTCACAAAAGTTGCACGTGGACCAAATTAGGTTCTAGTTTCAAATTATTTTTTTCATCGGAATCGGTGTCAGAGTCGAATTTCGTCAACTCCGGCTCCGACCCTTATGCTCAAAAATCTCGACTCCAACTTCACAGCCCTGCCGAAAACCATAGCTTATCAAATCGCACTCTCCGTAAAACGCCCATTTCGACCTACTGCCTGTTTCCATTATTCTACTAGTACCTCTGTGGGGTTTCATGGCTACATATTTCGCTGCCCCAATCCTTCCTTTTTCTTCTCGCTACACCCAACAGACTTGACTGTGCTAGCTGTTGTTGTAGGTAGATAGGTACCAACTAAAACCCCAAACGGAATCCGTAATCGGTACGGTTAAAGTTGGCTACATTGTGGGCGCATAGCAGCTAAGGCTCGGTCTGTCTCTCTGCATCGAACGGTCCCGCTCAACTAGTTTATGGCAGCCAGCGCGGGTCGGTTGGTGCTCGGTAGCTGGACCGGCGGCAGTGCGTGGTGCTGGTCACTGATAGCCGTGGGGTTCCACCACTCGCAGGCGGCGGCGGCGGCGGCAGTTGGGTACGCACTTAAACGGTGAAACCTGTTTGTGTGCGCGAAACGGTTCTAATGGAGGTCCGCTATTATTTTACAGTATAGTATAGGTCTGAGCAACAGCACGACACGAATGATTTAGCGTGATAACGGACACAGCACAACATTGGTACCGGTTCTGATGATGTCGAAGGCGAGAGCGCTCCAGGTAGTTTGACGGGATTTTGTCGAAATAGCTGGGCTAGGTTTTAGAATTTCACGGCATCTACAAGTTTGCCTGCGGCTTACGTCACCATTCGAACCCAATCGATGTACGGAGTTACATTGACGAGTTTTCATGTGATGATGGTATAAGCGATTGCATGCCTCCCCCGACGTGCACTCACACTAGGATCGAAGCGTGCGCGGTGAACAGACAGAACGAAGACGACCGACGCCGACGTGTGGGACAATAATGACCTGCGGCGGTGATGTGGTCATCGATTGAACGGCGACCGACGATGACGGCTAGTAGGAACCATATAGTCACTTTTTCCCAGGGGAGGACTGGTTTCTAAGAACATTGAACATTGGCGAAAGCGGACGCATTGCATGCGAATTGCAAATCAACAGCGTTTTACGGTCGAAAATAGACGGTGCGGGTCTTTGGATGGCGTTGACAAGTGAGGACCCGTTATCAGACCGATTCCCATACCGGACGGTTTGAGGTTGATTTCGGTTCTTACATAACAGTCTTGATTTCAAGGCTAAAACAGGCCGAGGCACAGAAGGCGATTGGAGACACGTTTGAGTAATTAATGAAACTTCATCTCCTCCGAAGTTCCCAGGGAAGAATCATTTTTCATTAAACTTTCCGAACTGGGAAAATTCACACCGAGAGTAGCTCCCGTAAAAATGGTTCCATGCATAACAGAGTAAACAAGAGTGCCTTCTCACACACCGTGGTCTTATCCGTGCCAACCATGTCGGCACAAACTATACCGTACTGTCGGTCGTTATGTTCACATACCCACTCTCTCAACCATTCACAGCTCGCGTTCGGGCGGAGAAACGAGAACATGAAACAGCTAGAGAACCCAGAAAGGCACAGCAAAACACACGGCCGACCGACCGCAATGCTGGGGGATGCGGAGTGCGCCAATCGCGACACAGCCATCCGGCTTTCGGTTGCACTGCTGCTTTGACGGCCTTTCGGTGGATCCCACGGGATTGACCAACCGACCACAGCCATCACGCGACTTACAATGCATAAATAATGCCTTGGTGTTGTGCGGATAAGCCCCGCGAGGGGCTTTTGTCACAGGATAAATGATGCACTGCTGAATGAAATGGCATTTTAGGGTGATTTTATGTCCTTGCAGTAAGTAGTATTTGAATGGAATGCGGTTCGAAACTCACCAGAAGCCCAGTCTCAACGTTCGGTGTGAGGATCAGCTTGGAGCCGTCCATAAGTCCATTCTCTCGTAGAGTACCATCGTGCAGTTCCCTGAAATTGAAGTAATGAAAGTATATTAATTATAGCGGAATAGTCGAATGACCCATGTCAGTTTTAACGACGTAACTTTGGGACGTTTGAAGGAGTTCATGGGCAGTGCTTTTCAAACTATGTGCTGCAGAATGTTGTACAATGCTAAAATCAAACCAACAGCGGATATTCGTAAATCAGAAGATCAATCAGGAATGAAATGTGCCGTGAAATTCATGGGCGCAGCCAGAGGATTTTCCCTCGTATTACAAACAACCAGGGTTGCTTCCACTTACTTCGCTATAAAACAATGTTTTTCTAAGTTATGGAATCATTGGATTTTGAACTAGGTGAAATGGATGTAATGTCGGCCGCACAGTGGAAACGGACTCGGATTTAGCGCATTTCTTCCATTTTGCCCGCATTTACTGGATGTCCTTGACTGCCCCGCCGCTTCGTCGAAGTCGCTGCTTTGCAATTGCCCAGTATTTTTCGATTGGTCGAAATTCCGGGCAATTCGGAGGATTCATTAGCTTGGGGACAAAATCGATCTTGTTGGCAGCATACCACTCCAGAACCACCTTGGAGTAGTGGTAGCTGGCCAAATCGGGCCAAAATATGACTTTGCCCCTATGCTTGCGGATGAACGGCAATACACGCTTTTTCAGGCATTCTTCGATGTAAACTTGGGATGTCATCGTCGAGGATGTGACGAATGGTTCCGTTTTCAGGCCACAACTGCAAATCGCTTGCCAAATTATGGCCTTATTCGCAAACTTTTGACCGGGAAGCTGCTTAAAATCGAGTTTGACGTATGTTTCGTCATCGATCAAAGTGCAGCCCTTGAGTTTCGTCAAAACACGGTCGTACAAGAGCTTTGCACGCTTTTTGGCCACGGAATTCTGCTTCATGTGCCGTTTCGGATGTTTACTGACTTTGTACGACTTGTATCTTTCCTTGGCAAGGATGTTCCGCACCGTTTGAATATTGGCGTTGTACCTTCTGGCCACATCTCGGGTCGAAAGACCGGGGTTGGCTTTAACGCACCTCAACACCTTGCTGCGCAGCTGACGATCCCTGGTTCCAGTTTTTTCTTAGGTCCGCTTATTCCTTTCCATACTCTGTTTTTCCTTGTAGTTTTTGAGCACTCGACAAACTGTTGTTTTCGGCATCTTCAGCACTTTAGCCAGTTTGGAGAACCGGACCACTTCGGATTTTCCAGGTGCACAATATTTATTCTTCTTTCGAGTTCCATTTGACGTTATTTCTGAACGAGATCGACTACTTTGATCAACGCTGAACCAGTTCTTCTCTATAGAAGTGTAAACAAACCACTGTCAAAGCTGTTCGAGTCCCAACACTAGAGGCGTGCTAGAGGCGCGCGAGGGGCGCAAGCAATTTACTTTTAGTCAACCTTTACCATTGACATCCTGGGAATTAATTCCAAATCATTTCACCAAAACTCACAATTCCAGTGAAGCTAGTTCGATATCCTGCGAAACAGCTAACAAAAGACATAATAGAATACATTTTTAAAGAAAGTCCACACCGACCGGGAAACCATTCCCGGGAAATTTACTGTGTGTAGAACTATGAATAAAACAAAATAATCTTCCAGTGGATGCTGATGGAACCTTCTTGGAGATGATGGAAAAAGCTTCCATAGAAGTCAGACAAACTCCCGGAGAAAGTTTGAAGAAATATCCAGAGGAAGCTGACCGACTCTGTCGGGAGATAAACATCCAGGAAATGTGGGAAGCGATTTCCGGGGAGGCCGGCAAGTTTATTGGAACTTCCAGAGGAAGTCGGTACACATTCTGACCTCCTTCTGACAGAATTCAGAAGGAGCTTCTAGGGGAACTCGTGAGCATTGTCCTGTGTTAGAAGAAACTTTCTGAGCAAGTCTAATATAATCTAAAACCAACACAGCCAGTTCTTAAAAGCATTATGAAAAATGATTGATATAGGTTTTAGTTTTAATTTCGGGCCTACCAAGCACGACCCGCCTTTTGCCTTTACTTTTCGAGTGGATTTTTTTTTTCACAAAATGGAATCTTTTCACTGCAGATGACCTCCGTACGTATCGTAAGATTTGATAAAGAGAAACAAATGGTTGAGATATTGTTAAAATCTAACACTGCTTCTTGACCCCAAACTCGGCCTAACGCATTGGAACGTCATTCAAACGCCATTGAATTCACTTCGCCCTATCGGATGAAGATAAAAATTGATTCGGTCGGAGCACTTCTTTTGTTTTTTTGAGAATAATGGGTGCAAACATTCATATCACGCGTTCTCATTGACTTCGTTCGGTAGCTGTTGAACTAAAGTATCGTACTAAATGCAGGAAATGACTAGTTAACGCCGAAATCACGGATTTATTTGATGTTTTCTGCTTGATAGGCCCAAAATGACCGCTTAGTCGAAGTAGTTATCTATCCTACCTCCATAATTTGTCTATTTGATATATGTTCAAATCAAAGATGCGTCACACATACCACTACTGTGCAGTATTTAAGGGGCAAGATGATTCAGCAAACATTGGGCCTGATTAAATCAAATATTTAAACACGATGCTTCAGAATCCAATAAATTGATGAAACGTGGACATCGCGTATCGTACGTTCCGTTTTTGGTAATTATATGATTGGAGGGTGGTCACTACTCGAGTCTTGTCACTATCAACAAGGCATAAAACATAAAAAATACTAAAATGTGTTCCTTTGATTACTGAAAAATTCTGTTCCCCTAGTTTGAGGTTGTCAGGACTAGGGTTTGGTTGTAGATCTTATACCAGTAACGCACCACGAAAAAGTTATCTACCAGCGTTACTAGTTGAAGGAACTTTCAGAGTCTTGAGCTTGCTTGCTGGAGCTTGATTGACCGCCCACGGTTGCTACTCTGTTACTGCCAGATCAGCTGTAATTACACAGAGAACCAATAGACGATGCTTGGGACTAGCAATCATCCTCAATGTGTAAAAACTGGTGATCTTAAATTAGGCAATACCAGCGCCGGCCGCGCCCGAACACAGGTCAAGAAAGGAATGGGAAGGAAGGTGTTGACATGACACTCGCTTTGATGGAAGCCGAGAACACCTCTGCACTTCCACGAGAAATCACTGGGATGTTGGATAAGAGGGTTGGGTTTGCAGCAGGGTAAGCTGAATTGATGTCCTAACGATCATATAACGCGAAGGAGCTTGGGACTAAACCCACGGTCTTCTGCTCAGTAAGCAAAAACGTTTGCCACTAGGCAGACGAGCACCTTTTTAATCACCGAGTTGCTGTTATTACCATGTAGTCATATTAACAAATAAAACGATTGACGAATCTTGAATGTGGATGGGCCTGAGATTAGACTCATAATGTTCTGCTCAGTAAGCAAAAACGGTTGCTCTAAGGCCACCGAGCCTCTCATATCACATAATACCGTTGCTCAAATTTGTGTATCCATTCAAACCCGGAACCAACGACAACAACGAGTTTCGCAAAATACACGATACACAAGCGATTTTACCATAAATCTCTTTGATATGTAAGGACCTGGGACAGCGTTTTTCTGCTCAGTAAGCAGGCCACTGTAACCGACGATCTTTCAAATCCGAAAACTAAAAACTACGAAAAAGTACTTAGGCCTTCATTAAGTTCCACTTTCACGCGACGTTCAATGACAGGGTCCTATCCAGGATTACATCTGAAAAATCCAAATCTGGCCAACGCCCACCTAAACCTGTTCTAATCCACCTGAAATGACTAACGAATGGAAGACTTGGACTACCCAGCCATGCAATAGTCTCATTCCGTGCCTTATGGCAACTTGATGATTCTATTGCGCTCATCTTTTGGCACCACCCAGGGGAGACTTGGTCCTGTACCCAATGCTTAACTTATCTCCATTCCACTCAGCTACTCGCAATTTCTTGTGATATAGTGGGCGGAATATTATTATATGAGACAATTCAATGCTGACGTCTTTCCAAATTTAGCAGACCGACAGGTAATCGATGAGTTACCACGATAGTTGCTATTCAACAACTCGACAACGTCCCATCGTCAACGCCTGCTATGAGAATTTCCCATTGCATACGTCAACGAAATGACGTCATCGAGCTATCGATCAACTACCCTGGTTATCGCCTGGTACCTTATAGCACGATGCTAGGAGGCGAACCGGAAGAATCGATGAGCTACCTCTCCCCCCTCTTCACTCTTGGGAGATCTAGTGAAAATTCTCCTGGAGGTTTTCCTAAACCTCCCTAGAAAATATTCTCTGAAATACCTAGAATTCATTCTAATATCTGCTCAAATAAGTTTTGGAAAAAAAAATTCTAAAATTCTCTTAATAGTTCTTCAAAGTGACTGTAGTTATCCTGAAAATCTAGACCAGTCCAAGGGTCTTGAAATCTTTTTTTTTTTTTCGTAGAGAGGACGAGGTATATTTTTTCCAGATATGTTTGTCTACGTATCTTTGAATCATAAAAGTGCTACTCCAATCAATAAAAAAAACTCCCAACCAAGACCATTATCCTAAATTCTCATTTAGTTAGTTCTCTGAGCTAATCAAGCTGTTAAGAACACAATAAGGAACAAGAACTCAGGGTGGCCACAGAATTTTTATTTTGAAATTCCCGGTTTTCCCGGTTAAAACATTAATATTTTCCCGGTTTGCCTCTAACAAAATAAAATGAAAATAACTAAGCAAGTTCTCAACAATTTTCATCCACAAAAACAGAAAACCAAACTCATAGCTGAATCCAGATGAAGATACAAAAATAATAGGAAAATATGTTTATGTTCCATACAAAATGGTCGACTCAGTTTATATTTAAAAAGAAACCTTAATATTACACTTTACTTTCTCAGCTCTTTTAGTTTAACGTCCAAAGCAGAAGCCTCTTTCTAAGCGTCTGCCAAAAGTTTAGCCTTTTTCATTTCCAGCTCTTTTATTGCTTTGTCCGCTTCCCTCTTTCGGATAGCTTCTTTATCGCTTGCAATCCCCTCAGCTCGCTTTGCATCCAA